TCATTCATGAGTTGCTTAATAAAGCCAATTAGATCTTCAAGTTTACTCAGCTGAAAAAAATATATATATATATATATATTTTTTTTAACAAATGTAATGCACACATACAACTCAGGACCAGTTACGTGGAAGAGATGTATAGAGCAAGCTATGGGAGGAGACTGGAGCCTCCATGCCCTCCCTCTCCAGGCATGTCCCCTTCCCACCCTTTCTTCTGGCCATTTCTCCTTCCAGGCAAAAATGAACAAACAGGTGCACTCCTCCAAGTTCTATCCACCGGGAGGGTTCCCCTTCACCACCGTTTTTCGGGCTGTCTCAGAGATGGGCTTTAGTGCTGTGCTGTCCACTTTCAGGTGGTGCCTGCAGCTCATGCAGAGCATCTGTAAGCCAAGATTGAAACTGTTCTTCCTCAGTCAACTGATCATAGGGAATTCCCCCATGAAGGCATGGGTGTGGGCTGAGAGACTGTAATATTGCAGGAAGAGGGGTCTTGGGTGAGTCTGGGAATTGGTTTTTTTTTGAGAAGATTAACCTCCTTAGGCAGGGATGGAAGGGCTGCCTCTAGAGGCAAAAAAAGTTTGAGGTTCCTAGCTTCATTGGAATCTGTCCAAATGACCCACCCTCATGTTCCAACTTGCATTTCTTTCCAACCAATACCCCTAACTTCTAACAAAAGAGACCCTGTGAGGCTGGGAACTCGATCTGTGTTGTAATTCAACGCCATAAGGATTCACAAGACTTAGTTAACTGGTTAGAACTAAAAACGTTTCCAGCAAAGGATACCTGGCAGAAGCAGCACTGCTGGAATCCAGAGGGCTCCAACACGGGCCTCTTGTGTTCTTCCTTGTCCAAGGGCACATGAGATGCTCTCAGTCCAACGGCGAACCACAGAGAAAGTGTGCAGTGCCTCCGCCTGAGGAAGTCTGTTTTAGTCTCAGGTTCAAAGGGGCTAGTCATGTAGCTATAACCTGCTATTAACTCTTTCTCCACATTCTGCAGGAATTGACTTTGATTTTGAGAATCTCAGCTGCACAACTATTGGAGGTAGTTATTTCAGGGTTGTCATAGAAGCCATCAGATTCCTTGTGCAGACTTTGAGCCACAAATTAAAACTTAAAGTTCTCAAACTCATCATTTTAATTTTAAAGAAATGTTGCAATCCTTTGACTAAACAATTATGACTTTAGGAATTTATTGTAATAATAAGGATGTGCATGCCAATATAAATAACTATTGGGGTAAGTCACGAGAGCACTGTTTATAATAGCAACAAACTGAGGGGAAAAAAATGGCATAGATGATGGAGGCTCTGTCCATTCCTCTGGCGACCAAACCAAAGTTGTGACGGAAACAAGGAGCAACAGCAAGGAAAAATCGCCTGGGATCTAGATGAACAAGCCACACAAATAGGGAGAAATCCAAGAAAGCACCCTGCAATGGCAGAAGGTAGGACAGGGCAAGGACGCAGGGCTGCCCGGTCTTGAGCAGCTGAATGAGACAGAGGCTGTGGCAGCAGCAGATGCCTCTAAAAGGGGCTGCGTCAGCGAGCGGATTTTTGCAGTGATGGACCTGCTCGCTCTGAGCACCAGTGCAGATTCAGCTGTGCGCAGGAGGCACCAGGGACGTATAGGGAGATGTTGTTGGAGTGAGGGCTGAGGGGAGGCTCGCTCTGTACAGACGTGCCAGAGGTATCCATTGTTCCCCATTGAGCCCTCCCCCACCCAGTGCGTGGACACAGCGCAGCCATAGCCATGAAGTGATGGAACTGGATAAGAGGTCGCTCCACCCAGAGGATTCCTTGAAACCCCGCCTCCCCCAACTCGCGGCTCCACCTAAGCCACATCCAGGTATATCTTCAGCGAGTCAGGTGCTCCTCGGTGAGCAGGGCCTAGACTCACACTAGAGGCAGCTGGCCTTAGTTTCTGCTGTGGCCTTTTGAGGCAACTATAAGCACAGCATGTGTGGATTGCTTGCTGAATCTTAACAGGTGGCCCCGGAAGGGTAGAAGCTTGGGCTAAGTTTGGCCTGCAGCCAAACTCAGGACTGTGCCCACACTAATAAGACCATGAGACTTAGGAGCTTTGCTTAATACATAGAAACAGACACGGAAAGGCAGCCAAAATGGGAAGACAAAGAAGCAGAAACCATATGAGAGAACAGAACAGAGATCCAGATATAATGGAGTCAAGTAATCTAACAGATGCAGAGTTCGAAACACTCATTATAAAGATGCTCAATGAACTTTGGGGAAGTGTAGATAATAAATTCAGTGAGAACTTCAACAAAGAGATAAAAAAAAACATAAAAATAGAAATGGAAATTATAAAAGGGAATCAGTCTGACACAAAGAACACATTATCTGAGATGAGGAGTATATTAAATGGAATAAACAAAGGAATAAACAAAGCGAATAAAGAATCAAATGCCCTATCTAGAGAATGGAAAAGCCAAGGACACTCAATCAGAATGGCAAGAAAAAAGATGCCAAGACTATAAAAATAATTTAAGGAGGATATGGGACACTATTAAAGATCCAAATATCGGTCTGATCAGCATAACTGAAGAAAATCAAGATGTTGAACAGCTGTTTGAAAAAATAATGATGGGAAACTTCCCTAACCTAGTGAAGGACATGGACATAAAACCCCAGGAAGCTCAGAGAATTCCAAAACTCAGGGGTCCAAAGAGGCCCATACCAAGACACATAATTAAAATGCTAAAGATTAAATACAAAGGAAGAATATTAAAAGCAGCAAGAGAAAAACAGATAGTTACTTATAAGGGAACACCCATAAGACTGGCAGTTGATTTCTCAAAAGAAACTATGCAGGACAGAAGGGCTTGGCAAAAAATATTCGACTTGATGAAGACCCAGGATCTACAACCAAGGATATTTTATCCAGCAAAACTATCGTTTAGAGTTGAAGGGCAGATAAAGACCTTTCCAGACAAAAATAAGCTAAAAGAATTTATCGCCACCAAGCTAGTATTACAGGAAATGTTGGAGGGACTTTTTTAAGAAGAAAAAACATGTATCAAAAACAGGATTAAAGAACGGTAACAACTACACTACTATCAATAAATACCTCAAATGAAAAAGAATTAAGTGCTCCAACTAAAGATACAGAGAAAAAATATATATATATAAATAGTGGATAAATGAAAAGGAAAACAAGACCTCTACATGTTGCCTAAAAGAGACTCACTTCAGAATAAGACACTCACAGACTAAAAGGAAGGGGATAGAAAAAGATATTGCTTTGATGGACCTAGAAGGTATTTAAGTCAGACAGCAAGATAAACACTATATGATTTCACTTATATGCGGAACCTGAGGAATAAAAAGAACAAACTAATCAAAAACAGACTCACAAATATAGTGGACAATCTGCTGACAGAGGGGAGGGGAGTTGGGGCAGCTGGGAGAATGGGGTGAAGGATTAAAGAAGTACAAATTAGTAGCTGATGGATGGTCATGGGGATGGGGAGCTCAGCATAGGGAATGCAATTAGCATTAACATGTTGGTTAGGTGGAGGGTCAGGGGAGGGAGGGAGCAATTGGGGGGATAGTTTTACAAACTATATAGATGTCTAAACAATGTACTGTATACTTGAAACTAATTAAAATAAATTTTTAAAAAAGCGACAAACTAGAAATTGCTTACAAGAAACAACTGGGTATTTGTAACATAAATTGTTAAATTTATTGGGGTGACACTGGCTAATTAAATTATATAGGTTTCAAGTGTACATTTCAATAATACGTCATGTGTATATTGCATTGTATGCTCACCACCAAGTTAAATTTCCTTCCATCATCATATATTTGACCCCCTTTATCCTTATCTACCTCCCTCCTACCCCCTTTCCCTCTGGTAACCACTAAACTGTTGTCTGTGTCTATGAGTCTGTCTCGTTTGTTTATTGCTTTCAGTTTTATATGAGTGAAATCATATGGTTCTCAACTTTTCCTGACATATTTCATTTAGCATGATTATCTCAAGATCCATCCATGTTGCCGCAAGAGGCAGCATTTCATCCTTTCTTATGGCTGAGTAGTATTCTATTGTATATATGCACCACACCTTCTTTATCTAATCATTTATTTATGGACACTTTGGTTGTTTCCATATCTGGGCCACTGTGAATAATGCTGCAATGAACATCGGGGTGCATATATCTTTATGAATAAACGTTTTCACATTTGGTGGGGTAGATACCCAGAAGAGGGATTGCTGGGTCATATGGTAATTCTATTCTTAATTTTTTGAGGAACCTTTGCACTGTTTTCCATAGTGGCTGTAGCAATTTACATTCCCACCAGCAGTGTATGAGGGTTCCTTTTCCCCCACAACCTCTCCAACACTTGTTATTACTTGTCCTGCTGATGAGAGCCATTCTAACAGGTGTGAGGTGGTATCTCTTTGTGGTTTTGACATGCATTTCCCTAATAGCTAGTGAAGTTGAGTGTCTTTTCATATGTCTGTTGGCTGTTTGGATATCTTCTTGGGAGAAGTGTCTGCTCAGGTCCTCTGCCCATTCTTTAATTGGATTGTTTTGTTGTTGTTATTGTTGTTGAGTTCTATGAGTTCTTTGTATATTTTGGAGATTAGCCCCTTATCAGAAGTGTTGCTTGCAAATATCTTCTCCCAACCAGTTGGTTGCCTCTTTGTCTTGTTGGTGGTTTCTTTTGCTGTGCAGAAGCTTTTCTTTAGTTTGATATAGTCCCATTCATTTATTCTTGCTTTTACTTTCCTTGCCTTTGAGGTTGAATTCATAAAATCTTCCCTAAATCCAAGGTCCATGAGTTTAGTACCTGTGTTTTCTTCTATGCGATTTATTGTTTCAGGTCTCAAATTTAGGTCTTTGATCCAGTGTAAGTTAATTTTGTTGTATGGTGATAGCAGTCTAGTTTCATTCTTTTGCATGTGGCTTTCCAATTTTCCCAGATTTGGTACATAAATTATAGGACATCCATAAAATGGAATGCTCAGCAGCCATTAAAAATGTTATAGAAGAAAATTTATTGACATAAAAAGGTGTTTCAGACATACTGATATGTAAACAAAGAAGGCAGTAAAATAATAGTAATGATTCCATTTTTGCAAAAAATATATATGTATATATAGCAAAAAATGATTGTCAAAGATGTACACTAGATAGCAGTGTATATTCCCGAGAAGTATGTGTGTTTATTTTGTTCTTTGTTTGTATCTCCTTTTTTCTATAAATCACATAATTTACTTTTGAAATAAAAAAACTTAGCATAGTTCAATACCTTCATTTTGATTAAACAAACCCATTTAAAAAAATCTTAGATTTTTTTTTCAGAAGCAGAAATAATTTCCAAGTTGTCACAGAAGCAGTGAGTTTGTTCTCTGCGGTAGCTAGCAGGAACCTTCAAGACCACAGCCCAAGTCAGATTCAAGGGGAGAATGGCACTTCCTACAGCTTCAGGGTGTTCGCTTCAGCTTCTGTGCCCTGAGGCCAAGTGGCTCACCTCCAGCCCAGTCCATCCTATTCTTGCTGAGTCACCAGTCGCATCATCTTCAGAGCTATGTCCCCTTGGTCAGAAGGAACCTAGAACCAAGCAATATCCGAGTTAGTGCTCTTGCCTGTTCCTGGGGCTGGGTTCAGGGGTGACGTCCTGAAACCTCACTCCCAGAAGAGTGCCTGCTCTGTGACATCAGCCTGGGAGCACAGCTGCACCGGGGTGCAGCCCTTAAAGAGAGGGTCGTTTTGGTGAAATGACCACTGTGAGGGACAAAAGCTCTTCTGTTGAGTGGCAGGGGACTGGAGAAGTTGGGGTTTAGGAAAGAACCTTCTCCATTTGGGGCTGATCTGTTGATTTCTTTATAAGGGTTATGCCTATTATGGTACTAGGACCCAGCCTATTCAAGGAAGAGGGAAAATTCTAAATACTTTACAGGATTCTCTGCTTAGGAGACCCCAATACTGAGAATGGCAGAGAAAGACAGCCAGACAGGGAACCTAACAAAAAAGCTGTAAACAAATACAAACAAACAAACAAGGCCCTTTGTTTGGATGGCATCCCCATTTTTGTATTGTTATTCAACTTTGTTTTGTTTTTAAGTTTTTGAATAATTCCTGTAAAAATTCTCCTTCCCACCACCATCAAAAGGGGAAGGGGCAGAAGCCCTAGTTTCTACTCTAAGAAGACTAGGGAGAGAGCAAATGGCTCCAGGTTCTGAAATTCCATGGCTCCACAATTCTCTACAGCACACCACTGTCCCCGACTGTCCTGCCAAGCAAGGCGTGGTGGGTGGGGTTTACTAAAATGACATTTAATCAACCAAAAGGGAAGTGGTTGGGGGATGATTTAATAACAGTCTCCAAGAGCTATTTTAAGCCTGGCCCCCAACTGATCTTTTGTTCTTTCTGTAACAAACCAAGAGGAAATGGGCTGCAAGCAAGTGGGCAGATGGTTAGCTCCTTTCTCCTTCTCCTCCTACCTGTCTCCGCAGGGACCACTCTCTACTAATAAATAGCATCGTGTTCTAAGATACAATGTGCTCGATGCTGAAGGTACTCAGATACTCAGAGCCATGACAAAGTGCCCTTGTAACCCCGCGTCTTGCTGCCTTGTTCATTTTCTGTTCAGATCAAGTTTCTGAAAAGGTTGGGCTACGACTTCCTTCTGGTTTCTTAAAGGAAGTTGTCTCTTCTCCCTCACTGCTTCATTCATTTGCCCCAACCTTTCCATGCTGGCTTTTGAGCCTGCCATTCACTGAAAATGCTTGCCACATTACCGACAATATCAGTGCACCCAAGTCATTGCTTACACTTCAGTCCTTCACCTGAGTTGTCAGCAGCATTTGACATCACTGGCCCCTTTCTGCTTTGGGGATGCCACATGTCCCTGGTCTCCTTCCTACTTTTCTGGCCACTTCTTTCTCATGTGTCATTTGTGGGTGCTTCTTTTGTCTCATATCTCTTAAATACCGGTGTACCCTGACTGGCCTTTTCCACATTTGACTCCCAAATCTCTGTCTCTCAAGGACAAACATTTGACTCCAGATTCACATATATGCATATATTCAGTTGCCTTAAGGACATCCCATGTGGCTTTTCTATGGGTAAACAGTTACCAAGTCCTGCCAATTCTCCCTTCTGACAACTTATCAAATTCCTGCACTTCTCTCCCTTCTGGGTTGCCATAAAAGCCTCTTAGACGGGCTCTCTGCCCCACTTTTGTCCCATGCCCTCTGCTTCTAGAATGTCATTTCTTATACAAATCTAGCAATTTCACTCCTTTGCTTAAAACCTCTCAACGGTACCCCATTGTTTTCAGGATAGGCCTGAGGTCCTTAAGGTGATGTGCAAAGTCTCCCTCCCTGGCCTCGTCTTTCCCTGGGGTCCTCCCTGAGGCCTCAGTTGTCTAAAGACCCCTCTGGACCCGCACATGCCGCTGTCCTTGCTTGCACACCCTTCCCTCTTTATCTAGTTAACTCCTGCCCATCGTCGAGGGGCCGGTCTTCCAGACCCCCAGGCCTGGGTCCGGCCCCCTTCCCTGGGCCAACCCCTACCTTAGCATTTCTCATTCCACGTCATTAGAGTCTCTTTGCCTGTCTGCCCTGCTGGCCTGTGAGCACCCTGAGGACAGAAGCGGTGCACCATCCACCTGTGAACTTCCAGTACCTGGCACGGGGACGAGCAGTCACAAGACACTCAAAAGTTTGTTCAACGAATAAAGGAAAGCACAGGGAAACTTCGGTTTTTCTTAAAGCTTTCGGTGTCTTCGCTTCTGGGACATTTTTAAGAACAAACTAAGGGTCAGAGATTTAAGAATATGTTGTCTGTGGTCAGATACTTAATAAATACTATGAGACCAAGTCTACCTGATACCTCAGCTCTCTGTCCTCTGTATCAGGATTTTTCAACCTTGACACCACTGACATTTGGGGCTGTACAGTTCTTTGTTGTGGGGGCTGTCCTGTACAGAGGGATGTCCAGCAGGGTTCCTGGCCTCTACCCACTAGATACCAGTTGTACCCTCCTCTAAAATGTGACAACCAAAAATGTCTCCAGACATTGCCAAAGCACCCCGGGGGCAAAACTGACCCGTTGGAAACCACTAATGCCCTTGAGGAGCAGCTTGTGGGAAGGGACTCCCCCCCACAAATCTCTCAACACATCCTCAGCCATCCGAGTCAACACACTATGTGCTTGCTGTGCCTACAGAGCTTGAAGACCAGACTCCTAGGCCCACATTCCAGCCACATGGCTGTCCCTCAGCCCTTTCTCTACAGAGATTCTGCCCTGGGCACACTGGAGCCAAGGTGGGAGGGCAGGCCAGAGGGCGCCTTAATGCCCCTCTCAACTAATGCCGCACAGGAAACCACAATCCTGTGAAGAAGAGTGACCCAGTGTGTAAGTGACGGGACCAAAGCATGGCCGTGAGGGAAGCACTCGGGCACTTCTGCCTCTCGGCATGCCTCCCCTGGGCTCCTTGGCAAGTGTGTGCGTATGCCTTCACATGTGTGTGCGTGTACAGTATCTTCAGGCCTCCAGCATCTTCTCTGGCCCACAGAAAGCCATGTAACCAACATACAGCCTAAAGGAAAATGGTGGGCTCACTTTGCAAGTGCAGTAGTGTGACAGCCTCACCATCCACCTTTGTATACAAAGCTTCTTCCAAACAGATTCTGCAGCCACCACTGCAAGAAGGCACCTACCCTCCCCGCCATGTACCGTGCACTGGCGACTCGGTTTTACAGAGTACCAGGCTTTGGTTTTCACTCCCTGAAAATGTCAAGACGATTTCTCCCTTATTCCCCTAGGACAAATGATGTCTTCAGGACAAAGTGTTAAGAGGAGAGTTAACATTAAATTCATTTAAACTAAAGAGTAAAAGACAGAAAGCCCAGCTCTTAACTCTCTCAGGAGGATTTACTTTTTTAAATGAGAATTTCTAGACTCAAAGGAATGCAGTGCAAATGGCAGAACTTGTCTGAGAACTTGAAACACTCTCAAGCTCAAAGCACTTTGTTTAAGACCAATCCAGGCAGTGCCGCCGCACAGAATCGACTGCCGGTGGCTTCTCTCTGAGAACGATATAAAGTCTGGGGAAAAAAGCTGACTCTCTCTCACCATGTGTCCAGCTCTGAGAATCCAGTAGAAAGCCAGGTTCTCGTGGCGTTTGACAAAAGCAGACGTTTCGGAAGATTTAGCCTCACTGTACAGGGGCTTCCACTTCAGCTGATTGAATTTGGGCAGTTCTGTCCACTTCAGTTTCCGCACCCAAGCCTCCTGACCTGGCAAGAGGGACAAAGAAGAGGGACTGGCATTAACCAAATAGGTGGAGTAGAAACAAAAATCTAGGTGCTATCACTTGGCGTCTCTCAAAGTATAATGTGCATAAAACCCAACCTTGTAAAAATGCAAACTCTGATTTGGTAGGTCTGGATGGCACCTGAGATTCTGCATTTCTAGCAAGGCCCCAGTGATAGCCAGTCCCACTGGTAGAAACCTAACAGCTGTGAAGCCTGACTACTCTCTGCCTCTGGCTCTCTCACGGTCACATGCTCTGCAGGAAGGAAAGCAGGGAGCTCTGGAAGTGACAGAACTCTAAGGGAGCCTGAGAAGTCTCAGGGTTAAAAGACGGCAGCAGGGACCACCCAGGCAGTTTATGGAAGAAACGCAGAATGTTCTCATGTTGTCCTTAGTGCCCTCGGCTTACAAGCCACAAAAATTCATTCCTGCTTTTTTGAGACACACTGCACCCACCAGACTACGTGCCTTCATTGCCTGCCCATTCTGAGAACCTGCCTCTGCGCCTCCATCTGGCCGTAATGAAACTAGGAGTGGGCCCATGGTGACAGCCAGTGTGACAGGGACTCCATAAATCCATAAAGACCATTTCCCCTGGGTTCCCAGGTTTACAGTCATTAGGGTTTAGTTTGTTTTTTTTTTTCCCCCCTCAGGCAGAGACAGTTAGTCTTAATTCACCTTACAGTGCTTACCATCTACTGGGTCACTTCCCCAAAACAAGGTTGTCCCTCAATTAAATAGTCCATTTGTCCAATGGCCAAAAAATGTCTTCCTTTTTCTTTTTATGGTGGGGGTGGGTATTTAATTATACTTAAAGGCCTCAAAAGCTGGATGGGCCCAGGTTTCTCCGAGAGGTCACAGCCTTAGGCAGCCCTACCCTTTTGAAAAAGTCAAGGTCAAGGGTGTATGGATACAATAGGAAATAGCCTTCTTCCCAGCATTTCAATGTCACAGACCCAAGACTGACATATCCCAGGCCAGTTCCCTTTTAGCTCAACCCATGACACTGCCTCCACGTGCTCCTCAGAGTGGGCTCCTACCCACGGTGTCCACAATGAGATCAAGCTGTCCATTATACACGGTCACGTTGACCCCGGCTTCCAGCAACTCGTCCACAATGCTGATGACGGGCTTCATGAAGTCTCCCTCCATGTTCAGGAAGACATTCTTAGACTGGCCTGCACATGAGAAAGAAGAGGTAGCAGCTTGGGTTCTGCCAGAACAAGAGGCCCCTTTCAGCCCAGAGCATCCTGGGCTCCGGCAGTCACACGTAACCACTGCGTGGCACCTAACAAAGACTGCGCGCATGGATGCTTCACCAACAGGGCCCAACCAGCCCGGATATCTGTGCCCTCAGCAGGTCATACAGAGGAGAAGTACAAACAGCACACGTGCTCGATTCACTCAAGTGCATTGCTGATTACAGCAATGGCATTTTTAATGAGGAATTGAAACCGAGAGAAGGCCAGTGCCCAGGGAAACAAGGGAGGCTTGGAAGATACTCGTTAGGCTGGTCCTTGGAGGGAACAACCTGTACTTTTGAGTCAATATTCGTCTTCCTCCTTTCCTGAGTGACCCCAGGGCCAAATTCTAAGTTCTGAACAAGTGGGGCTACCCTAGTGATAGACCAAATCAGACCCAGACCAATTCAGAGCTCGCCCTCAGTAAAGCCATGTGGAGGACTGGCCCCCAGGCAAGAGAAGAGATGGTCAGTACGGCATCTGCTGGATTCCTTTTGGTCACCACCATCGTAACGCTGAACAACAAGAACAACAGCAGCTACCATTTATTTTTATTTGCCAGTCACCGTGCTAAGTAAACACTTTACAAGCAACATCCCATTTCTTCTTCCTCACCTACCGCGGTTGGTAAGGAGTCTCAACTTATGCAATGGTTAAAGAAAATGAGACTCAGACAGGCTAAGAAACATGCCCAGGGTGAAATAGCTAGTCAGGGGCATGCTAGGATATGAACACAGCCTGACTGACTCCAAAGTATGTAAGCTTAACGACAAACTGAAACGCAGGACACTGGGGGTACCAGCTAAGGACACTTTGATCTTTCCAGACCATACATAGACATGTCTGAAGCCAAAGAGTTTTCTCTGTTAGTCATCATGTGCAAAAATGTAGTCACCTGGCCAGTCCAGCCACACTGGGCAGGGAGGGTGGGTTGCTATCACCAGAGAAGCTGGGACTGGAAAACACCATCATAAAGATCAAATGAGGGAGCTGAGCTGAAACCACGTGCTCTCAGGAGCTTGAGCGGGACCTGGCCTCCCGTGACGGTCACATCTTTTTCTTCTCGGCTCCACGACAGCTCCCCAAAGCTGTTCTCATCCCTTGCAGCTCTGATACTGCATTCTTTTTGATTTGATCTAATGAACGTTTTTTTTTTTTTCTTCATTTCTAGAAAACTCTAAGGGGTGAGGGTAGAAATGAAGACTCCAGGTCTAGGCTGAGTCCTCTGCTGACTGCAGGTTGGGAGGATGGCCCGTGTCCCCTGAGGAAGCCCAGGTCAGAGCCAAGTCTTAGCCTCTCAGCATCTGTCAAGGGGCCATCCTAGAAAGACCTCCAGATCATGTAACTTCAGAGTATCTTGGACATATACAAAAACTTCTTCAGCACGGAGCGTTTCCCCTCCAGAAGCTCGGGTGTTCCATTTGCTCGTGGCTTCTCTATAGGACTAAACGGGGATTTATCCAAAGTTTCTAGTTTCTACCTGGCCTTAGTATCTTAGGACCCCAGTCTTTCCTCACTGTGGTCTTAAGGCCAGAATACAGTAGATGCCTGGACCACATCCATAATCAGGAGGCCTAGGGAAGCCAGCCAGAGAGAACTGATCAAACCTGCAACTACCTATGGCCTCGGCATGCCTTTTTTAAATCTCAATTTGTTATTATGGGAAACTTCAATCACACACAAAAGTAAAGAGAAGATTACGATGATCCTTATGTACCCACACCTGGCTTCAACAGTTATCCACTCGTAACCAATCGTTTCCATTCTCTCCCAACCAACCCCTCATTTTGAACCAAATTTGGCATGTTTTTTGATGTCTTTACATTTGTTCGCTCATCTGTAAAATGTAGATAATGCTGTTCTAACTGCAATGTACTATCGCCACCAACAAAACCCTAATTCTACAAATTGAGGCTTGTGAATTTGCACCTCTCTTCGCCTCCCAACTCTACAAACGGCACTTAATTAGGTCACGTGTTACCTCCCCAGGAGCAATCCTCAGGAATAATTCCGAGCTTCTTTCTGATGGGACCGTTCATGAGCTGACTTAAGGAGTCTTGATTTAGGTGTCTCACGTGGCGATGGTAAAGATGACCTAAAACAAACTGGTACACGGTGAGTCAAAGGAGTAGAGGTGACACCAAGAGGACATCTTTCCCAAGCTGCTGGGGAGGCTGTGCATAAGAGGGATGCTTTCGGCTGGGAAATGAGAACCATCACCTCGATTCACCCCAGATGGAAACCGTCAGAAACACGTTGACAATGGAGGGGATTTACTAGTTTTGATGGCTGCATTTTATGTACTGTGGGGGCCACTGAGAAGATCCAGCATGACCCTCAAAAAATCAGCTGAGAAGTGGGATCTAGAGGACTCCTGATACCTTCACATGCCTCTTCCACAGGGAGGGTGCCAGGGTTCGACACCTGCAGTAAAGCTGGGTCGACTGAAAGACAATTGAGTCCAGCCTGCAGGGGGCCTGGCATTGTAATCTGGTGCGCAGAAGCTGGTTTTCAAACTTCAGAAACATTATGCTACGTGAAAGAAGCCAGATGTTTCAAAGACAACCTGCTTCTATGAAATCTTCTGAAAAGGCAAGGCTAAGGACACAGGAAGCAGATCAGTGTCACCTGGGGCTGGGAGTGGGCGTGAAAATCAACTGCACAGACAAGTGGGGATCTTTCTGGGCTGATAGAAATGTTCTAGCACTGGATTGTGGTGATGATTATACAACTCTGGGAATGTGTTAAAAACCATCGAAGTACACCCTTAAAATGGGTGAATTTTCTTGTATGTAAGTTATACATCAATAAAGCTTTTTAATCCAGTGACATGGTTACTAGACTTATTGTGGTGATCACTTTGTAAGGTACACAAATGTTGAATCACTGTGTTATATAACTGAAACTAACAATATTGTATGTCAACTATACTTTTAGTACAAAAATAAATAAAATTAAGCTTTTAAAAGAAATTGGTTTCATCTCACACGGGCTGATACATGGTTTGGCAATTTCAAGGTTCACTCACCTAGGTGGCTCTGGGTGAATTCCAGGCTCGATTTCATTGGCGACATGGGAGCATTTTTAGTTAGGATGTTATAGAAGTTTACCCCATCTGTGTTCTGAAATATAGAAGAATATTTGGCTGTTTGTGTTATTTGCCCATTATCAAAGTTGCAAAACAGAAAGACACTCGGCCCTCCATTTTATCCAAGAACAGCTTTATCTTTGTAAATCTGCACAGACCAGAAAGAAAATCAGCTCTGCAGGCTCAGAGACCAGCTGTGACAAGCCCGTCTCCTGGGGGTAGTGAGCAGATCATATGAGTGGAGCTCAGATGCTACAGGAGAAAATCACAGGCCCGTGTGTTTACAGGAACAAAGAGCTGCAGAGGGTCCCACACACTTGGGTCCTCAGCCAGTGCATTTTTCCCTCTGGCTCACTACGGGCAGGATGCTGCTTGCCAGGAAAACAAACACGTGCCTTTACAAGGTATACTGTTCCTAATAGAATCCATGTTCAGTCAAGGAACAAGCAAGTCTAGCAGGCCTGGGTGGCTTTCTGACCCCGTCACTGCTCAGACCGGTCAGATTTATCATTTAGCATGATATTGGGGGAGTCTCAGGATAGACGCCCCCGATCCTGACACCACCAACCAGGGGCCCATCATCCGTGGGAAAAAGCCAACCAACTGGGCTGGCCTCTGAGCATGCCCCGTTACCTGTTCAATGATAACTTCTGCTTGCCCCCACAGCTGGGTGGCCTCTTTGTAGAGCCCCTTATTTACAGCATCCAAGACTTCCTCTGCAACCTGAGACACCTCTGCCAGACCTTGGTCATCAAGAAGAGACTGGAATGCAAACCAAGAACAAAGGCCCGCTTTGCTTAGAAACACGAATCTGGCATTGCTACAGTTAGGGATGGCTAACAGAAAGAATGAGAAGCAGAAAGGGGAATTTATATACAAAAGCATCTTGTTACAAGTCACATATTTATTATGAAAGAAATGTTAACAGTCTAGATGGTGGATATGTGGGTGTTCACAGAGATCTTTCAACTTTTCTGCATATTTGAAATTTTTTCTAACAAAATGTTGGGGGGGATTTAAAAAACTGTTTTTTATACCTAGAGAAATGGGCTAACTATGCTGATGTTTCTTTAAATTTGTCCTGAGGCCAGCTGTTGCTTAGGGTCTCCAACTTGACATGGAACAAGAGTCCGTAAGGAGCAGTGTCAACTGTGTCACTCAGCTAGCTCTGTCCTTCCTGAGGACAGAGCTAGAAGGGGTCAGCTGGATTGCTGACCACAGAGGGGTGCGGAGGTGAGGTCCCACATACTTACCACGCTGTACAGGTATGGTCCCCAGGAGAGCACTGAATCTAAAGGAAACCACATAGACACAAAATAAGTCTGTCATGGCTCTGTCCTCCCAAAGAAAAACCTAACTGGCCTCCCTCCCAAAGCAGAAAGAGACAGAGGCAAGAAACCCAGTAGCTTTAGACTGGAAGGCTCCTTCACTCACCAGTAGCTATGCGGGAAACAAGCTGATATCTCAGTGGCTGAGAGGTGGGATGAGGGTGTGGGGGCCCGTATGTTGACTCAGAGCTAATGGTGTGTTAATTTGGCCTGATATTGACCCAGTAAGTGAGCCACAGCCAGTGGTGGCATCTCCCCAGGCAGGCTGTGCTTGCGCAGCAGAGGCTCTTATCTGCAGACTTCGAGGCTTTTTGACAGCTTAAAATACTTCCCCGCCCTCACATTTCTGCTCTGCTTCCTGCTTGCTCCTCCAAATTGGGGACACTAGCTTCTGCCAAGGAGCTAATTAAGGAAGAACACTAATGATTATGTAATTCAAGTGTCTGTGATTATACTGCCAATCAATTTTATTCCACAAATATATTGAGAATTTACTGAAGCTAGTCAGGAGCTTTATAAGACATAAATATGTGTAAGATAATGCCTGCCCTCAAAGAGAACAGTTGGGCTAGGTTTAGGCAAGTTCACACTACCACGACACTAGGTTAGGCTAGTGCCATTGAGAAATGTGCCAGCCAATGAAGGAACAAGGGTCACAAGTTTTAAAGTATATCTGAATATATCAGTCCTTTGCTTAAAAGCCTTCAGAGGTATCCTAAAGCCAAGCATCTCGAAGTATTTCAAATAGCCTCACTTCTACAGGATATGAGGTATTTAAAGAAAAAAAAAATGCTTTGGTGAAATATCTTTGGGGTTATGCAAAATAATAACACGTTCTTTACTGCAGGACTTCTCAGAGCCTCTGATGTGCCTGTGAAACCCCGAGGAGGCAGGGCTAGTGTTCGGCACTTCCAAAACTTATTTGACCATGGAGCCCTTTGTATAGCACTTCATTGTACTGGTATTCTCGAGTACACCCTGAGAAATGCAGGCATACCAGGCCCTCTTGGACCTAGTTACCCTTTTACCTCTCCAGTTAACCTGTAAGCCAATGCTTTAGTTTCTGGAAATACAGAATTGTCTGCGGTTCTCCAATGCATCCCATTCCCTGCTTGCTCTAGACCAGGGATTGACAAACTTTTCTCTGTAAAGGGATAAATAATATTCTTGGCTTTGCAGGCCAGCCAGTCTCTGTCGCAACTACTCAACTTCATTGCCACCTCTGAACAATATGCAAATAAATGGGCGTGACTGTGCCCCAATAAAAAACTTATTTACCAAAGCTGCATGGCAAGGTAGACTTGACCTGTAGGTCGTAGGCTACCAACCTCTGATGTAGACCTGAGATGTCTGAAAGAACTTTCTGCAATGATGGAAATGTTCTGTATCTGTGTGGTCCAAAACAATAGCCAGTAGCCACATGTGATGACTGGGCACTTGAAATGCGGAGCATGCAAGTGAAAGATTGAAAACTTTACTGCATTTTAATTTAAATTTAAATAGTCAATTGTGGCTATGGCTACCATATTGAACTGCGTAGATTTTCTAGAAGACATGGAACATGTCTGTATATCTTTCCTCGCACCTAACACTATACCTACTACCTAGCAAGAAATTGTAATCGTTCATGAAAATTAACAGCATTTCTCCCTCAAAGAGGGAGTACTTCTGGAATGGAGGAGTGATACTTAAAGTGGATCTGGAAGGAGAGGGTGAGATCTAGGTAGGACGATTCACGAGGGGAAGTGGGTCATGGTAAAGTGAAAAAGATTTGGACCAGATGAATAGCATATACAAAGTCATGAGCTTAAACTTACTGGTCTTCTGGAGGCAGTGTAGTATAATGGTTAAGTGCATGGATTTCCATGCCTGCGGCCCAGATGTGAGTCCTGGCTTTGGCTGTGTGACTCTAAAAAAACTGCTTAACCTCTGAGTCTCAGTTACACCATCTCTAAAATCGGGACAATCACGACACCCATCCCATAGAGCTGTTGTAAGAGTAAATGAAGTTAACACATGCAAAGTGCTTATTGTTGTTATGAACCTGTGATGAGGCCCCAGGAGGAAGCGCGAAGGCCAGTGCTATAATTCTGAGTGAGGCATCTAGCTAGAAACCTGCTGGATCCTCACGCCTCTGATCAAGCCATCTGCAGCTTTATGATGTCCTAGGAAGTCCATCCAGGAAGGACAAACAAGTAGCACCCCTTCTCTCAATGATGACTCGGAGCTCTCAGTTATGCCATTTCGGTCCTACCCTGGAGATGCCAAGAATGAGGGCAAGAAACAACCATCCAAGTAGCAGCAGCATATCCTGAAATCCATTAGGGAACCTGGCTCGGTAACAAGCCAAATCCCTCTCTTTTAGGGGGGGAAATATTACTTTTTATAAATTGTATTTTTAAAAACTGAGGCATAATCACACATCACAAGTCATAAAAGTAGATTAGAAGAGTTTTGATAAATACATTTATACCCATATAATGATCACTCCAATCAAGATATAAAGCACAGAGAGCCTGGAAAGTTCCCTCACGTCCCACATTCCAGCTTATTCCCCTCCTTCCTCCACAGCCAACTTCACTTCTGATTTCTAACTTTACAGTTTGCTTTTCTCTGGGAAAGGTCACCTTTTGTTAGGTCAGAGCAGTAGTTCTCAGCTGGGGGTGATATCATCCCCTGGAGGGCATTTGGCAATGTCTTGAGATATTTTTGGTTGTCATCCTGGGGTGGAAATACTGGCATCTAAAGGGCAGAGATGCTGCCAACATTCTACAATGCATAGGACAGCACCCCACAACAAAGAATTACATGAGTCAAAATGTCAATAGTGCTGAGATTTAGAATCCGGTGTTAGAGTTAACCCCACCAAGATGACTATTTCAGATATCTGAAACCACACCCCGGATGTCTGCAACGTAAACAACTTGTATCTGTACTCCCAACAAGGATGCTCAGATTATGAAACTGTGAACCTCTAGAGTTGCAGGACCTGATGGTAACCCTGTCTCGTCATCGACATGAGCAACAGATGGGAATTTCATCCCAAATGCTCATGCTAGCATCCGGGTGGTGGAGAGGACAAGACGACAGACAGACTTGGGTTTGAATCCTGACCAGCTCATTCATTCTATATGTCAGAGGGTAAATTCTATCACCTCTGTGAGTCTTTAGAATGTATTCAACTGTAAAATTTGATTCTTTTGTTATGAAAATCAAATAAGAGAATTCGGGTGGGCTCATAGTAGCCCAAGGTAGGTGCTGTGTAAAAGAGTTCTCATCCCCAAATATCTTGGATGGCCCAGGGGCAAAAACTTTCAGTGTTAACTTCTCCAAGGACCCAGAAAATTCCATTGCCTTGTTCTTTGATCAGGATAACATAGCTCAAAGTCCCAGAGAAGGATGGGAAAAGGAAGGAGAGAAATATCTGAAAATTCTGTACTTACCAACAGGGGAGATCCAGGAGTCACCCAAAGCAACCCCAGAAAAGTTGCACTTGATGCTCCCTTGCTGAATGGCCTGAAAGAGGAGCCAAGAAACATCTTTGTCAAGGAGACCCAGGGCCTCCATCCCTTCCTGGGTAGGAGGGAGCCCAGCCTTTATACACTGCCTTTCCCGAGCACAGAAAATTGCCCACCTTTTCCATGATTCCCGGGGGTATCTGAAGACCTCAGATACCAACCAGAGAGCAAGAGTAACTCTTTCCTGCTATTTGCAAAGAGTAGGACTGCTGAGTTTCTCTCTACTCTTTTCACAAAGGTGTGGGCAGGATGTGTCTGGTGCAACCCCTATCTTTGTTAGGAGGGACACTGCCACCCCTTCCCCCGGCCCCAAGGTCCGATTTCTCAAGGTGCTCAGCAAGCTCCTTGGGTACAATCCTCACTGTCCACACCGCAGTCACTGAAGGGCTGGGAGGACTCCTCAGGAGGTCCTCAAGGATGCGATCATGTCTTAGGACTAGGAGCTCATGCCCCTCTGCTCCTTTTTTTCATTTAACAGTAATATAGTCACAGAAAATTAGAAATAATCTGAATATCATAGGATGGTCTAAATGAATTATGGTGATTTCTACCAGTACATGATACAACTTAAAAAAACAATGAGAATGCTTTTTATGGACTGATATGAAAAGACCTCCAAGATATACTGTTAAATTTAAAAAGAGACATATAGAATAGTATGTAATATATACTATCATTTGTATAAAAATGGGAAAAATAATATATATGAATTAGCTTTTACAGGCATGAAATATCACTATTTCATGCCTGTAAAAAGATACAGAAGAAACTAATAACAGAGGTTGCCTTAGGGTAGGGGGACAGAGGCAAGAGAGACTTGTTACAATGTACCTTTCGCATTTTTTGAATTTTGAATTATGTGAATGTATAGCTATTCAGAGATCTAAAGTAAAAAAACAATGACTATCTTGACTTTGAACGTTGGTAATTAAAGAGAAAGAATTATGCATTTATCTGGCTTTTCCGTTAGGAACTTATATCAAGTTAACTCAATAGTCCCAGACGACGAGGGAAAAATTCCATGTTATAGAAGAATACCCGCTAATAGATGTGAGCAAAACGATAGAGGAAAAACATCATTTTGAAACCACTAATGAAATCACTGACTTATGTGAGAATTAAAAATTGATGGTGAAGCCATTAGGTGAAAGACGGATTAAGAACTGGACATCCATAAGGTGTGAAAATAACACCACTCAAATAACTTTCTCTCCAGGGGGAGGGCATAGGAGTTCAATGGAGGGAACAGACTAGGTTTAGACATTATGTGCCTTCTAATTTGAAGCAAAGTGATGTGCACATTACCTATATTAGAGGTTGGCAGTTTTTTTCTATGAAGGGCCAGATAGTAAACATTTTATGCTTTGTAGACCAAATGGTCTGTTGCAATTATGCAAGCTTGCCACTGTGTTGCTAAAGCAGCCAGAGGCAATATGTAAATAAATGAGAGTTGTAATAAAACTGTGGACATTGAAATCTGGGATTTCTTTAATATTCATATGTCATTCTTCTTTTAATTTTTCTTTTAATCCCCACCACCACCACCACCACCACTGCTACTTGAAAATGTAAAAACCAGTCTTAGCTCATGGATCATGGACAAACAGGTGGTAGGCTAGATTTGACTTATGAGCCATAGTTTCCTGAAACCTGACCTATTATGATATATTCTATCCAACACTTTTACCTTGAATGCATAAGGCCTTTAGACATAACCTCCAATTTTGTGGAAAACACAGTAAAGAGAGGAATAAACATAAATAACACCATGAAGATGTTACCAGACAAACCCAGAAAATGGGACATTCTGCAAGGTAAATAGTCTGGTTTCTTTACAAAGAAAGGGACTGTGCTAGATGAAAACAGACTTTGGGGACATCACAGCCAGATGTAATTCAAGGATCTGGATTAGGAATTAGACAAATCGACTATAAAGGACATGTTGGGATCATCAAAGAAGCCTGAATATTTGAGATGAAAGTTTACTGAAATGGGAAGATGAGTGCTAGCGATTGAAGAAAGCACGCTGTAAACATTATGTATAACATGATCTCATATTGGCTAAACAATTATTTATTCATAAAAGTACAGAACAAGATTCGAAGGTTATACACCAAGGTGTTAACAGTGGCGATCTCTGGTGAGAAGGCGAGATTTTAATTTTTCAACATAAGAATTAATAAATATTAAAAAAAAGAAAACCTATACAAGCTCACTGTAAAAACTTTAAACACAGAAAGAGAAAATGTGGAAAACCTTTCACCTTGGCCTCACTTACACCCTCTCACTCACTAGTTAACCACAGTTAACGTGCTATGTATCCTTCCAACCCCTTGCTTTGCTTTTGCAAGCATATATATATACACATGTGCACATATATCGACCTATCCATTTTTCTGATGGCTGCAAAGTGTTCCGTCGTGGAAAGATACACCTATTTTATTTAAGGAATCCTTTAAGAATAGCCATCGAGCGTTTTCAATTTATGAACATTATAAGTAACGGTGTGCTAAACATCCTCTGACACACGCATATGTGTAAGTATTCCCATAGGACAGATTCCTGAAAGTGAAATTATTGGGTCAAAAGTCATATACGCTTTACAAGTTGATAGATACTGCCAAATTGCCCTTTTAAAATGATTTACCAATTTCCATTTCTACCAAAAGTGCATGAGAGTACTTATTTTCCTGACTTCTTACCAAAACTGGGTGTTACCAATCTTTTAAATATTTTCAAATCTTATATATTTGAATGACTAATAAATATTGAACATTTTTCATATGTTCACAGACTGCATGTCTTCTATAAATAGCTTCTCCATATTTTTTGCTAATTTTCTACTAGGATATTGTCCAATTTTTATTAATTTATTGAAGTTAATACTTTTTTCTATCATACATTTGTATATATATATATTTGTATATGTATAGTATATATAATTTCAAAGGATATCTATTTATATCTTTCGAAATTGTTAACGGAACTCTAAGAAGTTTTAAATTTGTGTGTGGTCTAAATATGTCACACTTACTCTTTTTGGCTTTTGGGTGTTTCATCTTATAAAAGAAAGCTTTCCTACCCAAGATTATAAACATTTTTTCCTATATATTCAGGTTCTTTTATACTTTTGATTTTTATGTTTAGATTTTTAATTTATCTAGAATTGATATTTCATGCAAGGCAAGAATTCAACTTTTTCATTTTCCAAAGTGATAGCCATTTGTCTCCATACCATTAATTAAATATTCTATCTGTTCTCTCAATGATTTGAAATGCCATCTTATTACTCACTGTAGCTTTATACCTCATTTGATATCTGGTAGGGTAACCTTCACTGTTCTTTTTGAAACTTTTCATGCTTATTACTATAGACTTGCTCTTACTCTACATGTTTAAGGCCCTATGCAAAGTATAGTCAATATCAAGTGAGTATAAAAGGTAACATAATCAGTTTCTGTCTGAAACCCAAACAACAAAGTCATCTTTCTTCTTACCTTATGGAGTTCTAGAGCAATGCCAGCAGCCATTTTTCCTCCGTAGGACTCTGAGAAAATGTAGAATGGAATCGTCTAGCAAGAAAAGGAATTTACAAAGAACTAAATATCCTGAATGCCACACAAATTAATTTCAAATTTCTACTGCATGTAATGGCCAGGTAAATCTGCTGTTCTTTGTCTTTTCTCCTCCCCATATCTGATTATTATGTCTGATTAGAATACTAGCTCCCAGTTATTCTTTCAAGCCAAGAACCGCTTAAATGACATAAACAAAAGTCCACAACCTAATCTTGGGAGTAAAAAGTTTTCTCTGAAATCAGCTGGCCATTGAACTCTTGTAGAAGTTTATTCTGGTGGATGCAGTGTTACTACTGCTAGCTCTTTGCTTAGCTATCCCTGAGTCTTTGCTCACCTGGAATTCTTTGTGGCAATCAAAAAAGGTCTTCAGGAGAACCATCATGTCTGATGCCACGGTAGCAAGGTCTTTGGCATATGCATCATCCTTGTCCACATAACTGAACCCAGTGCCCACAGGGTTATCCACAAACAGGAGACTCGCAGACTGGAGCTATATTCCACAGAGGAAAATCAAATGTTATGGTCAGTCACCAATTATCTTTTGATCATCTTGTATGAGCTCAACAAAAACCACACGTGAGGATATCCATGTGCTTCTGATTCTGTTGCCGAAAGGGATTTTAAAAATAAGGGACAGGAACAAAGACTACTTCAGCAAACAAAAGAAAAGGCAAGAAGGAAAGATGAACATATATGTGGGGATTAGAGCATCTAAGCCATCACTTTCCACCTGGTACAGATGTACTAAATGTAATACGTTAGTGCAGGTAGAACCATGCAGTGTCAATCTGAGCGGTGAGAGTACATCCAAGATCTGAATACTGCACGTCAGTTTTCTTCAAGACGAATTCAGTTTCCACATTGGCCTGGCTTCCCTGAACACGACAAGAACAGAATTTATTCTAATACTTTCTCCAAAGAGGCTTAGAGTTAGAGAATTTTACATCTAGAAGGATCCTGAGTGATGACACAATCCAGCCAGATCCTTTACTGATCAGGAAATGAAAGCCCAGAAAGGGCCCAGGATTTGTCCAGGTCACAAAGTTGGACATGTAACGGCAGCATCAGGACTAAGATCCGGGTCTCCTCACTCCTCATTCAGGCTCCTGCCCCAGTCATATTACCCTCTTAGTTCTGGGAGGCTTGGGGACAAGCCAGTGGGGCACTCTGCTACTGGAAATGAAAAGTGATACTTCAGTTGGAAGTGAGCACAGGAATGTTCCAGGCTGAGGGAACAGCATGTGCAAAGACCTTAAGGCAAGAGTAAGTAAAATGCACTTAAGGAAGACCGATATGGAGACAGACAAGAGAATCAAAGGATTTGAGGTGACCTTAAGGAAGAGGTAATCCTGCATTGTCTCAAAGAATAGTACATGTGAATACGATGAGCTTGGTGTGAATGGGTGGCTGAAGGAATGAAGTTTGAGCCAAGGAAACTGCCCGTGCAAAGGTTTGAAGGTAGAATGCACATGGATAGATGTTGGGAGACGTGGCTGGAGGTTAAGCAGAAGCCAGCTTATGCCCCAGAATCTGGATCTGATCTTTTGGGGTAACTGAAAGATGTTAAACTGAGGAGTGACTTGCATTGGAGCATTTCACTCAAGCAGCATGTGGAAAGTGGATGGAGGTGGGGGACGTTTTGAAAGCAGCCACTAGTGGGGATAGAAAAGGAGTGAAGAATATTAACATTTGAGTATTAAACATAGCACTACCATATGACCCAGCAATTCCACTCAGGTATATACTCCATATAAGAGCTCAAATACGTGTACACCATATGTTCCCTGCACTACTCACAATAGCGAAAAGGCAGAAACAATCCGAGCGTCCATCAGCAGATGAATGGATACACAAAATGTGGTAGATCCATACAATGGAATATTACACAGCCTTAAAAAGGAATGGAGTGCTACCTGGATATAAAAAGTGCTACCTGGATGAACCTAGTGAACATTATGCTAAGTGAAATACCAAAGGCCACATATTGTATGATTCCGTTGTTATAAAATGTCCCAAATAGGCAAATCTACATAGACAGAAGGTAGATTAGCGGTTGCCTGAGAAAGGTTTGGAGGGTAATGGCTAAGGGGTATGACGTTTTTAGGGAGGAAGGGTAATGAGAATGTTCTGAAATTGATTGTAAAACTAAATATACTAAAAGCCATTGAATTGTACACTTTAAACGGGTCCATTGTATAGTATATGAATCATATTTCAATAAGGCTGTTTTTCGGAATTCGTTTTTAGGTAAGAGTGACTGGATAAGGTAGGTGGGAAGCAGGGAAAGATGAGGGTGGTTCTCTGGTTTCTGGTCAGGCACCTCGGGCACCTGAGTGGATGGAGGTACCCTTTACCATGACAGGGGAACCAGGAAGTTGGCTGGTTTTGCTGGAGAATAGAGGCTCTGGTATAGGACACAGAATAATGCACACGGTTTGTCAAATATGCATGAGGGATATCCACATGGAGATATCCAAGAGGCAAGTAGCGAAATAGTTCTGGGGCAAAACAGAAAGTCCTCAGCTAGAGATACTGACTGGGGAGTCAATGCCTTCTATATGTCATTAGAGGAGTTTGGGAAGACGGGGCTGCCCGAAAAACACAGAGAAGTGAGAGTTACCTAGGACAGAGTGCTGGGAAATAGCAACATCTAAGACACGGGTATGGCCAACAGTGCTGCAAAGAAGTCCAATGAAAATAAACGCCAAGAAGGTCCCAAAGGACTTAGAATTGGGAAGCCAGCATACTCTCGGGGACAAGAGCTTTAATCGAGTGATGGGGACTGACTGCAGTGATTTAGAGCAGTGCTTCTCAAACTTGTCTTGGCCACAGATAAAATAATACATGTACTGCACCCAAGGGATAATGCGCTAGGTTGTCTAGCACTCACTGTCTTCCACCTTTAGCCCCCGGCTCTCAGGATCAATGCTGCAGCACTCAGGATGATAGGCTCTGGGTGAATGTCACCAACAGGAAATACAAATCATTCTTGTAAGAAAGGGGAGTAGCTGGAGAGACTTGTGTAGTTGAAGGAGAATTTGTTTTTCAGTTGGGAAAGACCTGTGTATATTTGCACCCCCAGGGAAAAGACAGACTAGAAAGGACGTAGAGATATAAAGAAGGTACTAGCCGCTGAAGCGGTCTTGGGGAAAGTGACCTCAGCAGGGAGGAGCCTCACTTGTTGTTTTGAGATGTGCAGGAAGATAGTAAGCGGGGCGGAAAGGTAAACACATTTATCGGCGAGGATGAGTGATGGCTTCTGTTTTCTCGGTGAGGCAGGGAGGCAGGTTAGCTTCCAATGAGCGAGGAAGGCCGGAACAGGAGCCCCGAGGACAGTGGAGAACAGACACAGCACTGCTGTCAGCGGGGAAGCAAAGCGTGGCCACGAGCCTGGAGCAAAGCCCGCAACAGCTCCACCTTATTGACAGCGTGGTTTTGCCCTCTAGTCTTTGGCAGCCTAGGGGCGGGGGCCAAGCAAGTAGGGTGGAACCGACCCAAGGTTGGATGTGGCAGGGCTGTAGAGGGAGAAGGGAAAAGGGGGCCAGCGGGTGGGTGCTGGGTACGGGTGCTGACCGGAGAGGGGTTAGGGGAGAAAGTGCGGCTAGGAATGGAGAAGAGGGGTAGAGACAGACACCAGAGAGACATCAAAAGGGTGGAGGACAAGGGGCTTGAAGTCTTGAAGAAGTCGAGAAGGAAGGGAGGAGAGAAGGGAAAGGATGAGCGGTTGTGGCCACAGGGGGTCAAGGTGCACAGACAGCTAAAATGTGGGTAGTGACAAGGTGTCCGCGAGAGTAGGTTTCTGCAGACAAGTGGAGATAAAGGGCACCAAAGGCAAGAGAGACCACGGGGGAAAAGCAAAGCGTAGCGGGGCTCAGCCTCGGAGGGGCCACCCTCACCGTACCCAGGTGGTTCTCCGTGGTTTGAGATCACTGTCGAGGGGCCCAATCTCCTCAAAGTTTCCAAATCCAGTGCTGGATCCACCTGGACCACCCTGTGGAATAGAAAAGAAACAAAAATCAATCCAGAGAAAATGTTAAGTTTAAATCTGAGTCATTATGACAGCCATATTCACTATAAGTGATTTACGATTTAGTGATGGCAGCCTTAACCTTGCACTAAGGCACAATTTATCTGGTGAACCAGGGACTTCCGCACTAACTGAGCCCCCTGGCAACTGCTGAAGTCTTTCTGAAAGGAACAGACCTGGGCTAAGTGCCCCCAGAGGGAACTTTCCTACTTCTGATTCTACAAACTTGAACCCTGGCCTGCCGTGGGGCTCACGGACCTTCAAAACATCTTGTCCCACCCTTCCCTCAAAGATAAGCAATAGGCCCGGGGAAGGGATGTGGAAATTAGGGGCTCTGCCAGGACTGGATCTGGGGACTTGTGACTCTCCACCTCACCACTCTCTCCTCAGAAGGTGAGAGACTCTCCTCAGAGTCCTTAAGTAACAAGGGACCCAGAATGAGGAATAGTTTAAGTCGATCCCTGGATACAATGTAGCAAATGCAGAAGTCCCAGGGCAGGCAGCACTGGGTACTGTAGCATCCAGGGACAAGTGAGAAGCAAGAGATTCTGTGGGTTCTGACGGCTGAGAGGGGAGGAGGTCCTTCAGGAGATGGTCAGAGGAAAAGATGGTCCAGTGCTTTTCTGGACAAAACCTAGTTGGCCTGCTGAGCCCAGCAGGCTATGAGGACAGCATTATCAGCAGAGGTGAGAAGACAAGCCTAGGCCCTCCAATAAAAGGATACTGCCCATTTCCCCACTCCGATTTGTGGCAGCAGATGACCACCCCACTCCCAGCCAAGGGCAACAAGAAGCTGGCTGGAGGATAATTCTGTTCTATTTGAGAATAACCTACTACACAATCTTTTTCTCTCTAGAACTTTGGGATGGGGTGCTGTCATGGCTGGGGACAATCTAGTGACTCTGAAATATGGTAAATGTGTCAGTGAGCCAAATAACATGCTGAAATGGCTTGAAAGTGTAACTAAAATAGCTCACTACTCTACTCAGCCACGTGACCTGGATTCTCAAAGACTTGCCCAGAGAAGTCAGTGTGTTTGTTTCCTCGGGAGGCTGTTAAAACAGAGCTCCTTTGAATTAAAGTAGTAATTATTTCTTCCTTAATCATAATCTTTTTTTCTTCTACGTTGGGCCTCTGGGGAAATGAAGAACAGGTTAGTTGGCCAGTTGAAAACCTTGAAATAGCATCTCAGCTCAAAGAGTTATCCTAACCAAAGGTCACAAACTGGACCATGCACCATAGAGGAATCAGGTGCCAGCGAAGGACGCCCCTCTGTCCTGTAGTCCCTGACCTGTCTGAAAGGGACCAGCACCACTCAGCTTTGGGATAGTGAGTTCAGGCCCCAAGTTGCTACATCTGATTTTTAAACGTTGGCAACTTACTCAAATAAAACAACCATCCTGCTCTGCAATCAACTAAAAAGAAGGTTTGCAACGTCTAGAATTCAGTAGTTTTCAAACTGTATTCCTAAAACTCCAAATAGCACCTGAGGGCAGCATGTGACCAAGAGGTCTCAGCACTTCTGCTTTCTTCTGCTTTGGCTTTCACAAGGGGCTGGAAAAGTTCGGCTAACTAATAAAAAGTTATAGCAAAATCTCTAGAAAGCCAATGCCCAGAAAAGGGAAATGTCTTGCCATACTTCTAAGTGGCATCGAGAACCCAGGTGTCCCACTGGCAGGCCTGGGCTTATCCACTGCAGGGCTCTCCCCAAGAACCTTGCTGCCCGGGGCGGACAGAAGTTCCTGACTATGTGTATGGGTTCTTCTTCTGAGGCATTTTCATATCTTCACCCTTGGCTGCATCTCACCTTTAGCTCATCAAAGCAGCTGCCCTGATAATCCTAAGAGAGAAAGGCCCCTCCTGGCAAACTGCTCACCTTCCCTCTATCTCACCAGAAAGTCCGCATGGACTGGGCATGGGAGGCAAAGCCTGGGGTTCAGAGAGTCTGCTTATGAATACTGACATTTTTGCAGGAAGTGACATCTACATCCCATGCCAAGTGAGTACCAGGGCGCCCTATTTACTGATGAGCAAACCTGGAGCCCCAGCTGGGCCAGGTCAACAATCTCCAGAGGCTGAAGCAAGACCATGCTCCTCAATCCCTCCCTAGAGATTGGTCTTCCAGGTGGGTGTGGACCATCTCTGGCCAGATATTTTAGGAATGCAAGGAAGGATCCTCTGCCTGCCTCCAAATACCTCTTAACCCTTCCATGCCTTCCCTCCTACAAGCGGAACCCAAGATCAAAATGCAAACACATCTAGGGAGAAGGACAGGGCCCAACATTTAATACTAAGATACAAGATGCCGATCCTTTCAAAAGATCAGTTTTTCTGGGGGCAAGAACTTAGGGTCTAGGAAAGGACTGGGAAGAGAGGGAGAGGAAGGGCTGGTCAGGGTACTTCAGTCTTTGCTTTGGAACCTTCCAAAACATTTTCTGTAAGCATACAGTCAAATAATGTCTTCAGGAACTTCAGGTAAAGGTTCCTGTCACTGCCTGGACTCAACAAACAAAAAGCAAACAAACAACAACCACAACAACAAAACAGCAAAAGGCTAGAACCCCTCACTCTGATTTGGCCTCCTTGGTATACACACTGCCTTTGCCTGCCTCAAAAGAGATGCTGAACCCCCACGCCTAAGAGACGCCTGGCTGGCTGCTGGACTGGACCAGCCCTTTACCACTGCTGTCAGAGCTGTGAGCCCTTAGGAGCAAGCAAAATGTTAAGTGGGGAAAACCTGGCCTCAAACCTGGCCAGGCAGCAAAGCCACTTTTACCTGAAGCCACATAACCAGAGGCAGTTCTGAGAAGTTCTTGCAGGGGTTGGTGGCGTAATAGAGCCACCAGAACATGTGGGCATCCTTCCGGACAGTCACATAATCCCATACTTCCTTGCCCTCCTCTGTGGGCCAGTTGACAATGGCTCCTGAAAGAGTAGCAAAATTTGATTTTCCTGAAGAATATGTAACATCCAGGTAAATTCCAAGCCCAATAGAGATGGCCATGCTAGGCTAGAGATGATTTGTTTATATTTTAGGCAATTTACTCACTCCAAGATATTGTGAAAATAAGGGGGAAAAAAATCTCAGTTATAAAAAAAAAATAAACCAAACTTAATAGGAGACTTCCACTTTTTCCTCTACACCTTCTTCCTGTAAGGTTGGATTTTTAACAATTAGTATGACACACTTTTACAATTCTATTTTAAAAAAGAGAAAGATTTACATTTTTGAGAAGAGAAAAATCTCAAAATGAAACATGCTGAGTTTTATATCTTATTTAATATATGATTAAAGAAGCATCACAAATTACTGGGGCCAAGATTATTCACTGTATTATGCTGGGGCAACTGTTAACTTTTTTGAAGGAAAAAAAATAGAAATGTAAGTCCTCTCTCAATACTATAAACCAAAATAAATTTGAAGTGGGTCAAGTATTTCAATTTTAAAATTTAAGTATTAAAAATATGAAAATATAGTTGAATGCTTTTCTGACCTCTGGATGAGGAAACAATTATAAAGAAATTGTTTTTTTTTCTCTCTAGCTTTATTGGAATATACAATTAGTTGCTTGTATTTACATTGCACAATTCAATGAGTTTTCAATTATAGTTGGCATACAATAATATATTAATTTCAGTTGTACAGCATAGTGATTAGAGATCTATATAACTCACAAAGTGATCACTCCACTAAATCTACTACCCGTCTTCCCTTTTACATATTTATTACAACATCGTTAACTATTTTCCCTATGCTACACTTTTATATCTCCATGTCTATTTTGTAACTATCTATTCCTATTTCTTAATCCCTTTGCCCTTTTTCGCCATCCCCCCAACCCTCCTCCCATCAAGTAGCCCTCAAAATATTCTCTGTATCCAGCACTGCTGGCAAGAATGCACACCGGTACAACTTTTGTGGAAGGCAATTTGGAAAAAAAAAAAAAAGAAGCTGTGTGTGTGTGTGTTTCTCTTTTAATCCCCAAACTCCAATTTCCTTAATTAACTTTTCTAGCACCTACAAAATATGTATCAGGAAAGGGCAGGTTAAATACATTTTCTATGTCACCTTTGCTAAAGTAATGAGTTTCAAGTTACAGTATCTCTTTTTAAAATACCACTCTGTGGGAAAAGAAGGCCAATGTTAAAAGGTGATTTAGGGTTGATCCTTAGTGACTGGAGTTTTCTGCTTTCTACTTCCTCCTTTCATAAACCTCAAGTGCCTGCAGCAAGTAAAAGAACAAAAACTGGTCTCAAGAAGAGAAGGGAGTAGATGAGGAGACAATGCTGTTTGTAACTGATAAGGACAAAGATTAAGAACACCAAAAAGTAGCTTGAAGAGAAAAACACAACGGCTAGATTATTACAGATGTGTCTATAAGATTCAATATACAAGTAACGCAAGAGTTCAGTCCACTCGAAAATGACACATAAGGCTTGGGACCTTTTTGACCTAACCCCTGGCACTCCTCCATTCCCTGGCAGTGACCACTGTTAAAATTTGGGGGGCAAATATTTGACAACATTTCCCAGACACAAACTGGAGGGCCAGATGTTCCCCATTTTGCACAAGAGAAAACAGGAGTTAAGCAACCCGCCTAAGATCACAAGGCAAGTTTGTGGCCAGTTCGAATTCTCAGTACTTGATTCAGACCAGTAGACATTTTGCTGAAATAAAGGACTGAAAATCAATTTGCAAGTCATCCAATTAAACATGAATTTGTTTTTGCTAAGAAGGACCTCGGTGGGGGGAGACATCTTGTCTGTTCTGATCAAGTGGAGAGAAAAAGGCTTTCTTTCAATGGAACATCCCATTCATGGTAGGATTTTTCAGAGTCTTTTGGGCCGCATGTTTCAGCTCAAAATATGAGGAACTCATAAGCCCATTTGGCAGCCAAAGATGGCAGGAAATGGGAGGTCATCTTAAGACCATGTAAACCTCATCGATCAGCAATTTCTCCAAATCATACATTTTGCACAACTGCTTCTACCTAGGGAAAAAAGGAGCACCAGACCACCCAGAGCTAGAAAAGGCAGAAAATGCACTTTGTATTAAAAATAAAGCAAAACAAAACTGTGAAGTTCAAAAGCAATATAATTATGCAAGGTAGACACAAGGGAAAAGAGATTTGCTTTAAAAAGCACAAACTCACTTAACAGACTCTCATCCCTGGAGAGAGAAGGAGGCACCGGTCACTGATACATCTTTTGCCGGAACTTACCAGTGCTCAGGCCCAGAAGCAGCAGCAGCAGCAGCAGCGGCGGCGGAAACCGACACTTTCGCGGCGCCAGCTCCATGACGAATACGGCGCTGCAGCATCAGCTACAGGCTGGACCCCGGACCCCGCCACGTGACGGCGGCGGGCGGGGCCTTACGCAACCGGGGCGGGGGCGGAGGCGGGGCCTGGGCCTGGGCGGGCGAGGAGACTGGCGGTGTCCCGGGCGCCCTCTGCCGGGCGGGCCAACCAGAACCCACACAACAGTGCTCGGGGTATATTCTGTCTGCCCCACCACGTCGCTCTTCGCAGTTTAAAGGATGGGGCAAAGAGGAAGAGGCATTTTATGCATTTATTTGACTTGGGTTATGCGACCAGAAGGAGACACAGCAGAGAAGTAACTACGGAGACCGTCCTTTCTGCCCAGCCCATCTCCTCTTCTGCAACAAAAAGCCTAGCATTTCAAAAACTGTTCCCTCTACCCCAAATCAGATGAAGCTTAGACCAGCTGGTCCTTGAAACTGGAGGGCCAGTTTATAAGGTTACATATATTGTGGACATTTTGGAAATTTGAGATAAAATGTTAGATCCTACATAACCATTGTTGACATTTGGTATATTTGTTCTCTAGTCTTTTATGTCATCTTTTAAAATATAATAATAAAAATTTTTGTTCTATTTTTTCCTTCTGATAATTCGTCATCAGCATTATTCTGTGTTGTTAATATTAACTTTACAACAGTCGTTTTAAAGAGGGAATTGCAGGTTTTGGAAGAGGAGGAGAGAGAAAGGATGGCAGAGATGTTTTCTTGTGTGTCTAAAGGTCATTTTTATCTTAAGGTTTACTGGATAACTCATCTCACAGAGCTGGGAAACAAGACTATGCAGAGGCTGTATAATGGTCAGGTTACTTCTAAATACTGTGTTTCAAAGGTGCGCATGATAAAAAACGAAACAGAAAGAGTACATGTGACAAGGCCTCTCCCTTTCCTGTCCCCCTCCCTATCCTTCTCGCCCTGCCCCTCCTAAATGGACAGACGCTTTTATAAGAAGTTCCGCGGTGAAGGGAGAGGGTACTGAGATTTGGGCCAGAGAAAGAAATATGTAACCAGGTTCTGGTTTAAGCTTAACTTGGGTGATCCCAGAATGCATAAAATTCCATAATGCACATAAAACTCATATTATTCCATCTATTTTCTAAGCCAATATTATTTCCAGGGTGGAAGTCTTTGACTATATAAGCAAAGGCTAACGAAGTTAGGGAACCCCCAAAATGCTGCTGTGACAAAAGAATCATCAAACAATGTATCACTTATGGTGGTTATAAGCGTTGACAAGTGTGGTGTAAGTGTGACAAGCTGTTAAGTGCCCAATAATCTGCATTATAATCTAGTCTTCAACTCTAGATGGTCTTTCATTAGGGCAAACACAATTTCCCTTTTTTCATTACAGTTTATAATACTGGGAACTAAACACACACACACACACACACACACACACACACATATCTGGAAAGCAGGTGAAAGCTTATTATCTTAAGAGCAAAGTTCCTCTTAAGGATTGGAATGGTCTTTAAGAAAAATACCTAATTGGTTCCTTGAGCTTAGATGGGAGCCAAGAAAGTAGGGCATCAGCTAAGGTAACAAAGAATTGCTAAACTACACTGCACAGTATGAGAATTTGTTTTGCTCCTAGAAAGAAAGAATAGAGATAGATGAAAAGAATAGGGGCTGTGCAGAGAGAAAGACCAGCCAAAGAATCAAGGCTGAAGAGCCAGTGGAAATTTCTCTTATAGGGAAATGGCTATAGAACATTTCTTAAAAGGTGATGCTTGTGCTTCATTTTGAACTTGCTTGCATTTCTGTGAGGTAAACCTGTCCTCTTGGGCGCAGATCAAAAATATAATAGAGCTTTAGAAGAGGCTACAGGATTGGAAGAAATTGGGAACTTATTCCAAAAATTTGTTTGCAAAAATTATTTAATTTTTTCTAATTATATGTTTATTTTAGGAAGAGTTTGAAAAGCTGATGGAGATGAGTTGGGGCTCGTTAAAGGCCGTTGCAGTGACTTCTCAGTGCAGGTGCTTGCCGGGGATCCTTGGCGTTACACGGCTGTCTTCACATCACGTTCCCTCTGCACTCACATGCGCTGTTCTGCCTGCATAGCATGTTCTCTCACATTTTTCTGCCCCCTGCACCTGGCTAGTTACTATTGAACCTGTCAGTTTACATGTCCTTTCACAAGGAAGCCTTGTCCAAGACTGTAGACTAGGTTAAGACTAGGACCTCTTAGTGGCCTCAGTTGCATCCTGTACTTCTCCTTCCTGATGCTCATAATTGTTTTAAAATAATGATCTATGAGGTTATTTATTTTAATTTTATCTTCCTTGCTAACTGTGAACTCTGTGAAGTTGAGGATCAGGCTGTCCTGGGTGGTTGCCCAAACAGATCCTGACCCCAAAGTTGTATTTGAGAGTATCATCTGAGAGCCACACAAGCTTGTTGGGAAATGCTCCACCATGATATCAGAAAGCCAAGCAGGCATCATTTTGCCTTTTTCCAAGTTTGGGATAAATTATTCTTTTATTGTGTGCAGGGTCTGAGAGGCCTTAGCATATACAGGGAGCTACAAGTAAAGGAGGAATTGATGAAGGATAAAGTATCAGGTGACTTGGTTCAATTTAGATCAGAATGCAGGATCTTGAGCTCAACTGCTGGCATGCTAGCAATTTAAGATTCATTGCAGATGACATAAATCCAGGCAAGAGGGTTGGGCAGACAATCACATGACCAGATATGTGTGCCTCAATTTTGTTACTTTGGTGCAATGAAGGTGTCCTTCCTCTTCTTCAGGGCTAATCACCTCAGCAACTAACTACTGTGCCAAAACTCAAATAGGTTGATAGCAGTCTAAGACTCATAAACAAGTCCCAGGCCAAGGAAGAGGCAAGATACAAATGTGTTTGATAAAGTTGAGTGAGGACAGGAACATGTAAGAGAAGGAAATAAACTAGAAATCATTCTTAGGAGTGAGGGTAGCCCAGACAGAGGGATGGCAGGGGTTTAGTCATGTTGATTGCCTCAGGAAATTTGAGATTGACCATTTAAAGGTCACATTCCTGGAATAGGCTGAAAACTACAGTTAGGTCTTAGTTTGCTGTCTGGGGACAAATGACTTCGTTTTGAGCCTATTATGTCTGTTTTTTAAACAATTCCCCAGTTTTGATCAAACTCAGCCTGAAACAAGCGATCAAAAATTAAGCCCTAATGCCACTGTCAGCTTCTGCTCTATAGTTCTTGTGGCTTTTTCTGATCCTCTGTGGGATTTCACAGGTCATGATGTTTTGTTTAATATCCGTGATATTCACAGGCCACAACTTCATTTTCATAATCCTTAAATTGATCAGTCCCATTGTTCCTTTTATAACTAGCATTCTAGTGTTAAGGAGATCATTTATTTGGTAGTTAGCAGCTGCAAACATACATTAAAGATTTTGAAAGAATACGACTAGCCAGGGAGATTATTATAACTCTAAGCATGAAAATTCTCAATATGGAGTACATTTCAGAGCCATAGTTTCCAAGACCCAAACTGATAAGAAACAGCTCATTGGAGTCACCCTTTGAAGCCAAGTGGCTTGATCAATGATTTTATGTCACTGAGCTTCAACTTTCCCAGAAGTGTCAATCCAGGTACAGTAGTTGGTGTTGGCCACAGCACAGACACCTTGCTCAGCTAAAGATGATCAAGGGCTATTCTACCGTCAAGATCAACTTTGGCCAGAGTCTAAGGATTTTCATTGCGCAATTATTGCTTCAACAGCAGATTCTTGCAATATCTTCAACAGTTAAGGAGAGGGTTCTGATTATAGCCTCATTTGGACTCACTCCTAACCAGGGAAGTAGGAAATTTGTCAAAGAGAATTGTGAATGCCTCCTGGTAGATCATTTCTAGAATAGTTAAGGACACAGTTAGATAACCCAAGAGGAATTGGCCAGCTGTATACCAGCCATCTAATCATTCATAGGCCCAAGAATGGTAACTGCCACAAAGGTTACGGTCCAGAAATTTCACACAGTTTCTGGAACACTTATAACATGTACCTATACATATACATATACCTATACATATAAAGAAGGCTTAATGTTGCTTCTCATTTGACAATGCTTCCCGTGTAATTTAACATATCAAATAAGCCTAATTAATTCAGTATATCGCTTTTCATACAGAGAGAGACATTTTCCTTTAGGAAACTTCAAAGTTACTTTGGGGTCAAAAAGACTTTTGTTAAAAAAAAAAAAAATTTAATTTTGGGAAGTTCGTCAAAAATATTAAAAGTTTGGACACTTGACTAAATAGGATCAGAAATCATTATGAAATAATACTTCAAAGGCAAATACAGAAGATTATGTAGTTCTGAGCAAAACTTAGTTCCTTTAACATTAAGAAAACTCACTTTCAAGCTATCAATGTGATAAGACTCAAAATCTTTACTCTCTAGACAGAAAACTTTTCACCATATCTTATCTGGTACAGACCAATAGTCTGAGAAAACTTTGTCCTTTTAGCAGGTGGAAGAAAATCAAGTTTTAGTTTACTTAAGCATAAGTACACTATTGATATAAAAGCTTATTTTTAAACTCATAATAACAATTCAATTTTTTAGCCAACTTCACTACACAAGGTAAAATTCTCTTTTCAACTTTTTATATACATTTAGTTTGTCCTTCATAACCGGAAGTTCTAGTTTAGATAAAATAATTCTCATTTCCCTTAACAAAAATGTATCTCCATAGCTCATACCTTTTTTAACAAAAAACATCCTATTTTCCTTGCATACAGAGTTATTTCCCTTATTATTTCTAGTAGCTAAATTACATATATTAATTAAAATCCTTAATTTCCTAATTTCTAGTGAAAACTAAGAAGCAATTATGAACTGGCTTATAAATTAGCATTCTGTAGCTTGGCAAATTTATAAATACTTTTTCTAATTTTTGGAATCGTGTTTTCTTAAAGTAAATTTCTCAGCATGGCACAAGACATGTTTCCTAATAGACCCAAATATCTTTAGTTCCTCTGTAATAAGGAGCCAAAAGTAGATAAACCTGTATTCAGTAATTAATGTTTCTGTGTTTTATCTTGTT